TTTGTTAAATATTTTTAACAGCTGTTCGGGCCTGATGTCCAGGGGGCACCGCTGCTGCTGGGCGGGCGCCATCGCCTCCTTTTGTAGCGTCATATCGTACCACCGTAACACGACTAGCTAACGTCAGCCAGCTAATCACCTTAGCTAACAACATTTATAAAACTCAATGTCCCAGCTTTCCTTTAGCACTTAAATTAATCATGTTAGTGTGAAACTATAGAGGCAACCCAGGAACCATCAACCTAGAATCTGATATTCAGTGTTCAAATCTCTTTGAATGTCTTTTCTTTTTCGGCTTTTACAACTCATGGCGCCTACTGACTGGCTAAATGCCTAAGCTGATGTCAACTATAATGTTCAGTGTCCATGTAAGTTCAAGTGTTTAGTTATTTTGGCCTATTCAACCTATGACCCCCCCTCCTCCCCAGACTTAAATGTTTGAGCCGAAAAAGACCCACAGAGGCTCAGATCTGTTGGTTATCACTTTTATTTGTTCTCAAAACAGAAGGAAAATGATTTCATTCAACAATTTTGCTCAGTTATTTCAAATGAATTAGAAGCTTTTGCCATCAAATGTGAGTAAAAAAAGAAACAATGCTGGTTAGTTTTTGCAGAATTTACTTAAAAAGTAATCAGAATCATTATCCTTCAAAGCCTTTTTTGAAAGGCTTTAAAACAGCTTATTTTTCCCCTCTAGATCCCCTACTATCTGATATTTTTGTTTACTGCTTCTTTTTCACACTTTTTCAACTTTCAAATCTTAATTTTTACCACATTCTTCTGAGGATTAATCGCCAACAGTGAGGGTTGAACAGTGAACCTGAAGGTCCAGATGCAGCTCAAAGCTCTTGTTCAGCTCTCTGCTGGATCTGCTCCTCTTTCTGAAGGACCTCACTTTCAGATCATCTTCATCTGCTGGATTATAGAATTTTTTAGGCCCAGCTCTTCTTCTGATGTCTTCAACTGGGCCAGTTTCCTCAGATGTTTCCAGGACTCTGCTCACCAGCTGAGATTCCAGCCAGCAGCTCTTTGGGAATCCTCAAAAATCCTGTTTCCTGTCCGTCAAACTGGGTCTTCTTTGGCCTTTTTCCTCCATGTGTAATGTTCCTGGCATTGGAGCTGGCTCCACGTACCGTCTGCACTCCTGATCAGCATCCACACTCTGCAATCAACCGTTATTGGTACCACCTGTCATCACCTGCACTTAAGCTCTGTCCCAGCCAGCCTCCAGTGACAGAACGTCTCGAGCCAACCGGTGAGAACTTCCAGCGTTATTCCTAAATATCGTTATTCCTGTCTCTGCTTCTGATTCCCGAGCCTGCTTAATCCGTGTCTGATTGTCCGCCTGCCTGAGTTCTGCTCCGCCAGTCTCTGGATCCTGTCTGCCTGCCCGTGACTCCGAGTTCCTGCATGCCCCTTTGGACTTCTCACCTGGCTCTGACCCTGGACCGGACCTGGACCTCCTTTCGGATTTACCCCTGGTACCGTCGCTGGATATTGGATTACCCGTTACCGAACCAAGACTCCCCTGACCGCGCCCCCGGATTGCCCCACGTTCCCCGCAATAAACTCTGTTTAACTGACTGTCCGTCTCTGAGTGTTCTTGGGTCCATATTCAGATTGTGACACCATAAGCTCCAGAAATGGAACAAATGATGTGTCTTTGTGAGAGGCTGCTGATATAAAGGGGCCTAAAGATCCACTTTAAACTGCTGATTGGACACAACACTGGCTCAGCCCTTGAGTTAGGGGCCTTTTTCAGCCTGAATGACTCAGAGTTCAGTGGTTGAACAAAGAAAAAACACACTCCTTTGAAAATGCTGACAATTAAAAAAAAAAAAGTAAATAATCCTAATTTTTGCTTTTGAATGAGCTGATTTTGTTCTCCTTCAGAAGCCCCAGCAAAAGTCACTGACAGAAACCATAGAAAGAAACACCGAGAACTCAACCTGAGAGAAACCAAACCCACATTTTAAAACAGTAGCAGTAAAAAAACGTAATATTTTTTTGATTGTCTCCCTAAAAGAGACTTTTAAAGTTGACATCAGTATCTTTTTGAATAGTTAAATCAGTCTTTCCTGTTGAGCCGCTGCCTCACATGGAGAAAAACTGACATTATTTTATATTTTCTCAGGACGAATGTAGAAATGACCTGCAGCTCAGGATGAATCCACAAATGATTAATTACAGAAAGAAACAAGCTAAGAGGAGAGTTTATCTGAAGTCACACAACTCTGCTGAGGATCCAGAACAATAAAGAAGTCCGGGTATCACAACTCCAGCATAGAGAGGATGAGTGAAGGTGGTCTGGACCCTGTGGAGGAGAGTCATGGTCTCAGAGACGCTGTAGAAGGACAGAATACCTGCTCCGTGATCCAGGTACACTCCTACTCTGGAGGGAAGAGGAGCTGAGATGGAGGTTTCTATGCTGTTGAACCTAAATGACGAACTGTTTTCATAACAATATAACGCCCAAGATTTGTCATTATATCCGAATTTACATTCATGTCCTTCTCTGCTGATATTCTTGTATGCGACTGCTACACCAACTCCCCTCCCTCTCAACTCCACCTCCCAGTAACAACGTCCAGTCAGACTCTCTCTGCTCAGGACCTGAAGCCATCTAGTGAATCTGTCTGGATGATCAGGATAAGACTGATGACCCGACCAGGTCACCTTCCTGTTCCCCTCTGACAGTAACAGGTAAATGTGTGCTGTGTTTGGATCCAGTGTGATTTTA